ATACTAAATCCCCAAATGTATGTGGTATCAATAATAAAAATCACCCGAATTCCAGCTTTAATGGTAATTCCCAAATCTCTGTGAGGGAGTGTATACAAAGTGCTATTAGAGCACAGGAGGGAATGGACATTTCTTTAGTTGGATATGAGGAGGCTTTGAGGAGGAGCGTTAGCTGAATCTTTAGGGTTGGCTGAGCTTGGACAGTTCAATGAGCAGGTAAAGCAGTGAAAGAGAAGGCATAGTTTGGGACATGGTGTGTTTGAACACAGACAAGAAAACCTTCCTCTTTCATGACTGCCACACATGCTTTGAGGAGAAATGGAAGGGGAAAAGAAGCCTACTGAACCAATTGTTTCGACTGTTCCTATGTGATCATAGCATTGCTTATATGGATTGGCAAGCAAGGGATGAGCTCATAAAAGGATATTAATGTGTCATTTTTATCGAGCAAAGTAGTATTACAGAGGAGGTGATTTCAAAGGCACATGGCTCTTTCATTACAGTCTTCAGGGGCAATGTTTGATCACTGAAAACAGGCTGCTTTGTTCCAGTTCGCTCTGATGTTTGGCATTATCCTGAATACATATGCTCTGACTTGGAGAGAATCAGACTGTAAAGATTGAAGAGATTTGAGACTTGCATATTCAAAATACATGTCTCCTTGTTAAAATGGGAAGAAGACTACTTGAATATGTATGTCTATACATAAGCAAACATACTTCAGACACGCATCTCAGGAAAAGTTTAAAAAGCAGTCACACATATGTGTTTATTCTGAGATCATGGAAGTTGCCTATTTTTAAAATTCATCATTATATGAAAACTAAGGGACAAGTATATTTTAGGAGGCTTTATGTTGGTAAGAACGAAGTATGAGAAGCTTGCTTATTTCACGGACCTACAAGAAGATATATGCCCTTGTTACCTGTCGCTGACACAGCTTCTGCATTTTGGGTGCTCGTGAGCATCCTTTCAAGTACAGAAGTAGTGAGGATGTGCTTCAGCTTGCAGCGTGTTTGCCTCCTGTGCACATAGCCCTGGGGTTGATCTTCAATACCATGCCAACTGTGTGCAGCAGCATAAGATGCAGTCCCAAGCCCCTGCATCAGAAGTTAATGCACTTCTTAGCCTGCATCATGAGTTCAAGACCAGCCTGGACTATACAAGACATTTTCTAAAGTGCGAAATGGAGAGTGAAGCATGTTTCTACTTAATCTTAAGAATAAAACCTAGAGTCAGACATTAGGGTGAAAGCTGAAAGATCAGAGAAGCAGAACAGCCAGCTACCAGAAACTTCTTTCCTCTACTAAATCTCCAACTGAATGGGGGCACCTGCTTCTTTGAATCCTAGACTGAAATTGTTGTCTCTAGAATCCTCAGATTGAATTGGCACCAGATCCTGTCTCCAACCATTTTATATACCTGTCTCCACATCCCTCATGCTGGGATTAAAGGCATGAGCCTCCCAATTGCTGGGATTAAAAGCATGAGATCCCATGTGCTAGAATCAAAGGTGTGAGCCACCACCAGCACTGTCTGTCCTCTATAGTTAACTAGTGGCTAGCTCTGTCTTGTAATCTCCAGGTAAGCTCTATTTGCCAGAACACAAACAAAACATTATGCAACAAGGGAGAAAGACACACACTCACACACACACACACACACACACACACACACACACACACACACACGCACACAGAGAGGCAGAGAGAGACTTTCCTGGCTAAAAGCAAAATGGTGGTCACATGTTAAATGAGGAATTTTCTATTAGTATTTGCATGGTGTTCTTTTCCTAATGTTAATAAAAAATGCATTTCTTTTCTATTTTTAAGGAGAGAAATAGATGCTTAGGAAGAGACTAAAAACTTTCAATGTGTTGGCTAGAATGCATAATTTTATTGTCATAGAATTCTCCAGCTTCATGCCCTTACAAACTGATATATAATCTTGCACAAATTTATCTTTTGAATTTTGGATCCTTTTGAATATATAAAAGATGGCATTCCCTGCCCGTGAGTTGGCTATAAATCGTACTGAAGAATAGACACTCATTGTACTGAAATTAAGTTCAAGACTTCCAGCTAAAAGGTGTTCAGTTAAATGATGTCCTCTTTTATCTGATAAAGAAAAATCACTCCTTAGCACTTACATATCTCAAATCTTTTACCTGTTACCCACCTCACAGAACCCAAGGTTTTCTGTGAGCGGGTGGCGTGTTTTCCTCTGATTTGTTTTGCAACAATTCCAAAACATGTTACTTCAGCTCTGTGCTTGCAGCGCAGACCAGAGCTTTACGAACCTTAATGTACTTATTAATCATCTGGGGAGCTTGTTAAAAATGCAGGTTCTGATTCAGCAACTTGACCAAGATTCTAACAAGCTCCCGGGTGGCACAGTGGACCACAGTTTGGGTAGTTAATGTCTAGAGTACAAATGACCTCTTATTAAAGTGGGATTTCTTTCTGCACCCAGATAACTGGAGATGTAGATTCCCTGATTTTAAAGTTACTTCAGCCTGTTGTTTTGTGCATTGCAAATCTAATAAAAATATTATTTTTACTTGCTCCACATATTCCTTCTTAAAACAAAACAAAACTAAACAACACCTCACCTCTCTTACTTTACAATTTAGACTCAAGAAACTACTTAAAGTTTCCAGAATGCATCAGGTTTTTTTTTTTTTTTCATATCTCAGTACCTTTCTAATAGTATTGCTTCTGCCCATTTTGGCACCAAGTGACTCTTCTTTAAGGCCCATATCGGCTGTTGTGTCCTTTAGGATTCAATCCTACTTCCTCTTTCCTATGGAAACGGAGATGCCTCTGTGACTTCACAACACTCCACATTTCCTTTATTAGGGTTTCCCACACCCTGGGTCTTTTGCAATGGACTGGCTTCCTGCCCACTCTTGGCAGGACCATGCTTCTGATTGAAAATACTAGACCTTTTATCCCTGATGGCTACGGCCAGTCACAAGACCTCACACCATTAGTTTACTGACTGAGTGAGTATAAAGGAAGCCTGGCTGGGTTGTAATCATACAAAAATATAATTCAATTATTATTTTTCTAATGAACCTTAAACTTGAATTAGGAATAATAAAAACCAAATTCACGAAAAGTTAAATACAGGATGATTTAATGGTAGTGATACAGAATGTCACTATGTGATTTATCACAGCATAGAACTGTTCTGAGTTTACTGACAGAAGATGTGAGATGGATTTTTTAAATTATTTATTTCATACCTCAGCTTGTTCAAAATAGAACTCGGGACTAGCAGATCTATGTCCTCAGGCTGATGAAAGTATAGGAGCATAAGTAGTTAAGAGAATAGTGTGAGAAGACAAATGGGGTGTGGGATAAGATGCTAACAGGTCAAGGACCAGACAAGCTGGTCCTCAGGACTGATGCTCTCTGTGCAGGATGGAAGGTCTCACGTGGCGCACTTCGATTTCCACCCTGCCCGGGAGGCACACCTTTGCCAGGCTGCTAGCTGCCTTCTTGCCCTTTGGCCTCTGGTAGAATCTGGCCACAGAGGTACTCTTGAAGAACAATAAGAGTCAGGACATCTGCTTTCTTAGGTTGCCTAGAAGTGGCTGTGCCTCTGTGTAAATTGTCCTTAAGGAAGTCAAGATCCTTCAGATGACTTTGATTGCATCATGCCATGGTACTCGTTGAGGCACTGATAGAATCGTAGAGTGCTTTGAACTGCGTGAAATCTCAGATTTAAAAATTTTTATGAAAACCATGAATGCCATAAGAGGGTTATAACCTGTCTGTCTATCTATCTATCTATCTATCTATCTATCTATCTATCTACCTACCTATCCACCCACCCACCCACCCATCTATCTATCTATCTATCTATCTATCTATCTATCTATCTATCTATCATCTATATCTCCATATATGTATGTTTACAAACACATGTATGGCTAGAGTCTGTGAGGGCACTAAAGAAAAAAGGAAACTAGAAAATTTACTTTTCAATAGAGAAAATTCAGAAAGCAGACAGAGCTAACATTTGCCCTCTTGGCCTTACATTTAGTGTGATCAAGAAGCTTAAGCCACCTAGAGGGAAAGACAAACCACTATTGTATTTAATGCTTGTAGTCCTGTAATGCTCCTTACACCGGTATAAGTGACTGTTCATTTGTGATGCGATTGTCTTCCAGAGACTCTGCCTTGAGCTGTTCTCCTTTGACTAGGGCTGACTGTTCAGAACTATGACCTCTCATCTTTCCTGATGTTCATAGTCTGATTGTTTCACAGCCCATTCACCTTCTCTCTGGAGACACAGAAAGACAATGAATGAATGAAAACCTTACCATGAGTATCTATGATGAAAGTTTTGTCGAGAAGGGGGCTGAGACTGTGAGACAAAGTACAGCTGCTCTGTTTAGCTGGGCTGTTCTGCCACCTATTGCCATAAAAGTGTTGAGTGCTGTCTCTGGTTTGTCAAAAAGCCACAGATAAAAATGGACAAGAAGACTTAAATTAAATTCATGATGATGAAGAGAACCAGATCTGAAAAATAAATAGGATGCTGTTAGTATGAAGCCTTGATACACAAGCATCTCTGTCTTTGCTTGGACTGTATTATAGCCCTGTTTGCAGTACTGACTCACATTGCTGTTGACTCATATGGGCCTAATTCTGTGACCTGGCAAAAATGTACCATAACTCCTGGCAGCGGGAGACCTGACTGTGGTTTGACCTTGGGTAAATGAGCTAAAGGTGATGAACAAACCATAAAATTCAATTTAAAATAATAAAAAAAAACCAAGATTGTTTATACTTTGCCCAGTGGATAAAGTGAAAATCCAATATGTTTCCTGGTGCATGGTGTACATTCTGGGATAGTCAGATTTAATTAAAGTTTATTAGCTGGATAAGGGAGGAATTGAGTGAAAACATTTTATATGAGGCATTTGGTAGTGATTTTGTTCTTTACTGTTTAAGCTTTCCTTTATTAAAGATTATTTTCTTTATTTTCAGGGTCTATTTATGAAATGTTCGGCAACGAATGCTGTTTGTCAACAGGGGAAGTGATTAAAATCACAGGCCTCAAAATTAAGAAGATAATGGCTGAAATTTGTGAGGAGAATTCTAGAGATTCCGAGTCTCAGAAGCCCTTTGAACTGCCCATGAATTTTCCAGGTACTGTCAACTGCAAACACTCCACATGGTATTAATAGTTACATGCAATCAAAACAACTGGAAACAAAGAAAAATGCCAGCCTCCATATTATTTTTGTTGTTATTGCTGCTGTTGTAGTTTTGAGACAGGTTCTCACTAAGTAATCCAGACTGAACTTGAATTTCAGTCTGTCCTGCCTGGGTGACTGAGTGCTGAATTTCCAAGTCTGCAACGATACTAGCTGCCTGGGGGAGATTGTGTAGTTGTATGGGTTGGAGAAGATAGAATTCTTATAGGTCAATCAATTTAAGAACTGAAAAAGGCAACCATGCTATACATTTTTCATTCTTGTTTGGCATAGGAACTAGTCACTTTAGTTAGCAAATAACTTCCTATTTACAAGTGTTTAGTGTGTCTTTAGAGTTATATTATTTTTAACTGATTCATAACAACATAAACATAATATTTATGAAAGAATGTAATATTTTCATTCATGAATGCATACATAATATTTCAATCAAGGTAAAGATTGCTATTGTCTCAATTATTTATTTTTCCTTATGGTGAACATTGTAGAAACACTTGTTAGTTTTTTGAAATGTACAGTACATACTTAGCCTGAGTCACTTTACTGTGCAACAACATGCCAGGACTTCTGATCCCTAGGAGGGCATTTTGTCATGTGCATCATTAGATGTTCTAGTGAGCATCAAAATAAGTCTGTTAGCTGAGCATGGTGGTGCATATCTATGAGCCCAGCACTTTGAAACAGGAAAACATGACTTCAAGGACAACCTGGATCACATAACAAAGCCCTGCCCATGTATCCCTCTCCAACAAAATTATAAAAATGAAAAAAAAATCAAAACTACATTTTCATGAGACATATAAAACTAATTAGCATCACTTAAACCTATCTATTTTATTTTTAAAACAGTTTCTGTAGTTCCTTGACTCACTGCCCACATGATCTTACTGATCTGCTTGATCCTTTTTATGTAGGTAACTCGACTAAGCTTTCCAATACCATGTCTTGTAGGAACTGGTTGCCCTATATCCGACCCTATTATATATATTTAATTTTTATATACCTATGTGTGAATAGCACAGCATGCATACCATTGGGTAGTCACTAGTGATTCACTTGTCTTGTGCTCTAGACTATGGGCAGTCAAACTTTCTGGAAATGGTCAGACCATCACATTTTAAGGCTTTGTAGGCAGATTGTTTCTTATAACTACTCTACTGCGATCTTTTAGGTCACTACAGGTAGGAAATCAGTCAACCAGTGGTCTTGAGAAATCATCAAAAGTTTTACTTATAAAAAGAAGTGGCTGAAAGGATTTAATCAGTCAACTTATTTGTTGATGTGTGCTCTACACTGCTAGTACTCAGACTTAGTATTTCTATAACCGAGTACACTCAGGACAAACTCAATACATGTCAACTGGATGATCAAATAATACACATCACAAATATTACAATACAATATGTTTCACAGTGGGATTAATGTAAATCTGAGCTGCATAGGATCAGTAGGTCCTGTTTTTGAACATGGATTTGGTAGCTGTATTTCCAACTCCAACAGTTTTTAATTGTGTTACCTTGACGAATTATTTCCTTTCTCCAAATGTAAAGTTAAATACTAATACTGCTATATAGCTCCTAGTTTTTTTTGGAGAAGGGTAATATTGAAATATAATTAAAGTGCTCATTATGGTGTCTTGGAATATAACAAAGTCTACAAAATAGCGATAACTTATATAAACATTATCAGGATTCTCATGGATATCATTGGAGGGATCCAAAATACACTTCAGAGAATGTGATAATTGAGGTTTAGAGAGCAAAAATAAATTAGGTATATTTAGGAGAAGATTCTTCCAAGTGCCATTCTCTGTCCCTTTGAGCCAAAAGCATGCCCATTCTTCCTGGTCTTTCATAACATGGTTTTAAAACCTGGCTACACAGTGGGCTCATCTAGGGAGAGTAGAAAGTCAGGATGCATGAGACATCCTGATTTATTTGGGTGAAGTCTGGTCACGAAGTGTTCTAACAGCTCCCCAGGTGATACTATCATGTACCTGAGGTTGAAAACCAGTGCTTTATAAGAAATAAAGCTAGATGTAATCTCTCAATCATCAATTAATCTCTCTCTCTCGCTCTCTCTCTCGCTCTCTCTCTCTCTCTGTATATATACTGCATGCACATGTCTCATATATCTATGTAACTGGCTTGGAACTTCCTTTGTAGAAGAGTCATTCCTCAAACTCATATAGAGTGCCTGCCCCTGCTTCCAAAATGTTGGGATTAGATGCAAGGGCTTCCATACCCAATGTAAATCACTATATTTTATGCCATAGTTATTGCACTTATTGCAATTTATATGTAATTGGAGTTATTTTGTGCTTTTTGGACTAGCATGATCTAATAGATAATAAGGTGGCTAAGAGCAGAAGTGAAATCATTTATTACTGTAATTCTCAGTAATCAGAACACGATATATAGAATAAACATTCACTTAGCTAAAATGTTCAAAATTTTCAGATAGCGGAAGAATATCTTATTGGACTACTGGAAACACTTGGCTTTTGACTGAAGTCTAGTTTAGGTTATCACTATTTGGAACTTCCTTTGAGCTGCATGGTAACTTTTCATTATTTGAGCAAATGTTTAAAGACATGCTTATAAGTGAGTGTTATTATGAGGGTCAGGATATGATGACTATGATGGTTATGGAATGTTTTCTTTCAGAAAAGACTCTAAGATCCCATATAGATCTTTCTTTGTTATTATCACCTGGGGGGAAAGCTCAGAATCAAGGGCAATTTTCATGAATCCTAACTGCAGCATATGCTTGGTCTATATTAAAAAATTTCATTTGAACTACAATCATATTTTATAATATTTTATAATTTAAAATTCCTTTAATGTTTTAACACAAAATTTTATCGACATATACTCATGATGCATAGTGATAGGCTTCATTTCAAATAACTATATCATGTACTTGGAATACATTCATTCCCTCTTTCTTTCATCACCTCTCCCATTCTTGCCATTCATCCTCCAAGTTTTGCTTCTCCATAAATACACGATTACATATATAATATACATATATTGCATATAACACGTACCTGTAATTTTATATAACTGCATGAAAATCTAGGATCCACAAATTAATGAGCAATAAAAACATGTGATATTGTCAGCTGTGTCTATTTTCCTGCAAATGATATAATTTAAATCTTCTTTAAGGTTAAATATAACTCCACTGTGCATGCACAGCACAATTCTTTATCAGTTTATTGATTGATGAACACTTAAGATGATTTCATAACTTGGCTCCTGTGGATAGTGTAGCAATAAATATACAGGTGACAACATCTCTGTAATATGTGGACTTAGAGACTTTGTGAGCTTACCTAGAAGTAATGTATTTGGGTCATATGCTAGTCCTATTTTTAGCTTATTGAGGAACTTCCATATTAATTTCCACAGGTTGAATAAATAACATTTCTATGCTAGTGTTTATTGTTATTTGTTTTCTTAATGATAACCATTCTGACTGGGGTGAGATAGCATCTCAATGCTGTTTTATTTTGTATTTTTTTTTGGTAGGCTAAGGATTTTGAACATTTCAATCATATGTTCATTGATCATTGGTACTTCATCTCTGTTTGTTATATTGACCCATATACTGTGTGGAATTTAGTTCTTTATGTATTCTAAATTTTAGTCCTCTATGTAGCTGTCAAAGATTTTCTTCTATTCTTAAATTGTCTCTTCACTGAATTGTTTTCTTTGCTGTTTAGAAACTTTTAAATTCTACAGCATTTATCACAGCTTCAAATTTTTTTTCAACTAAACCAAATCTACGTAGTAAAAGAAATCTCTAATGACAATTTTAATCACTGAATAAATGCATTTTAAAAGATACTAAACAAGGGGAAGACCCCTCCAAAGGTGTTTTAAAACATTCTGTCATATCAGGTTAACTCTTAAAAATTCTTTTTGCAGCTGATTTCAAATTTATTCAACTGTTAGAGGACATACTTTCTGAAATTATGAATTTTAAAAATATACTGAGATTTGTTTTATGAATATATACTCTATATAGAAAAATATGTGCCCTATTCTTATAGAAGTCCATTAAAGACTTTTAATGATTCATTTGTAGGGGTGTTGTGCTCATTTCTTAGCTGATCCTTCATAACAATATAACTACTGTTGAAATCATGTATGTGTATATTAAACGAAAGCAGAGAAGAGTTGTTTAATGAAAAAGAAAACAGGAAAGATGGGTGTAAAAAAGGGGAATCAGTAGGACAGGTTGAGGGGTAAAATACGCTCATCAAATCACATATAACATATATATTAAAATGTAATGATGCTAAATACCCCTATTATTATTATTATTATTATTAAATTATATGGTTCCTTAAAATTCTGTACATTTTTATTTAATGTACTTTGAGTGTCTGGGAATATGCATCTATATTTATAATTGCTACTGATTTTGAGTAGAGAATCTCTTTTAACATCATATAACCTTCTTTTTCAGTAATAACACTTTTAAAAGTAAATTTGGTTCAGTTTTTTACATTTTTTTTGACTTATTGATTTTTTAAACAACATCTTGATCTACTGCTAAGCTTGGCTCTGAATTCACAATATTCTTGCTGTAACCTACTGAAAGATGGGATTACAGGTGTGCACTAGCTTGCTCTGCTGTATTTTGTTTGATTTAAAACAATTATTCCAGTTTGCTTTGTCTTTATTTTCTTTTTTGCAACTAATTACACAGTCAATCTACTTTTTTTACACTCAAACTACTTACATTTTTGAATTTAAAGTCTATCTTTTGTAACACATAGCATGTGCTTTGATAATTTTCTCTTATCGTACCAAAGTTCCTTTTAATCATTATTTATCCACTTTTAGCTAATATCATAACTGATAATAAAGAATTTATGACCATTATTTTTTCCTACTTTTCATGTTTTCTACTCTTCTGCTG